CTTGTTCTGATAATATATGGTGGAGCAGTTTTATTTTGCATTGTGTCAGTTGTACACTTTGTGCCTCAAGATTTCAGTAATTAAGCAAGGGAGGAGATGAGGAGGAAACATTTTTGTGGTGAGAAAGTGCACTGAGGTTTCCTTGGTTTTTATCAGTGAGACATGAAAGACTGCAATTCTTTTTTCTTGTTTAATTTTAATCAGGAAGCTTAATCATATTTCAATGCCAAATTAAATTCTGGTGCATTTATAATTTGGTGTATTCAAAATTTGCTTCTGTTGTGTAGAAGGTATTTTTTTAGCATCCCTGTCAATAGGGGAATCTGCTTTTGCAGTTTAGAAGGAAATGATTTGGGGTTTATATGCATTGTAAAAGTAAGATACCAAGACTAACTCACTGCTATCTCATGCTTGCAGGTCTGTGTTTACAGCATCTACTTGCTTTATTTTCAACAGCTTTTAATAGCACTGTTTAATTCTGTAGGATCATTCAATTTGCTTCATGTTTCTGTCCTTGAAATACTATGAGTCTGATTTCTGTTCTGACAAGAGGGTTCATGCAGAAGTCAAGGCTTCTAACTTCCAAAGGCTTTGGAGTCCTAGTAGCACCTACTCCATAACAGATTTAATTGCAAAGTAAGTGTTCTTCACTTTTCAAATATAATGAATTGTCCCATGGGCTAGGTGTGGGTTAGGACTATGTAAGGGTAAACTCTCCTACATGTCATAGCTAGAGTAATTCTGGGTAGAGCTGGAAGAAGAGTGATGGGATGCTCATACTCATAAAATCCTCCTTGCTTATGACCATTTACTACACAGTGCCAAAATTGCAATTAAAGAAGTGCTTTGTTGGTATGTGGTAGATGTGCCCAAACCAGTCCTAATCACAATGGCAGGAGCACTCCATTTCTTTGTTCTGCTGCCTCCTGTGCACACCAAGTCCATGGAAGAAGGCTTTGGAGTGTTCCTGGCAGCCTATGAAGCTGCTTGAGTGGATGCTAATGATAAGTATATCTTGCCCAGATATGCTTAGGCTTATGGAATCATGTGCATTTCCAACAGGTTTTTCAAAAGAGAAGAATCCAGCCCTGCTGATGACCCTGTCTTCTACCGCACTTTCAGGAGTGAGAATGTTTCTACAACTGATTAAACGTCTCCATTTAGTGTGGACATCACTGAACTCCAGCAATACACATTATAATATACCATTGAGGAAATGGTTTGGAATGCTTTAAATATAATGATAAAGCAGCTTCTTTGAAGAATACTTTATTCACTGATGTTTTCCACTGTGACAGTGAAAAGTTAGTAAATGCAGTTTTAAAGACTTTGGATTTATTTGCCTCCTGTTCTCATTGAAGAGATCCAAAGCCTGGCAGGTACCTATCTTTAGAATCTGTAGTATAAATGTCACATGAGATTATATTTTCAACTAAAACAAAAGTCTGAAAAAATGACATGTTGGACAGAGAACAAATAGAACAATATTTTCTGTTTATGGGGCAATTCAGTTCAAAATAGAAAACTATACTTCCTTAATATTTTTCTCCTCTTTTGTGAAACTGTAGGCAATCGAGTGTTTATCCTAAAAGCAAACTCAAATAGCTGCCAACACTTTAAGAGAAATGAGTGGTACATAAACATTACATATTAAGATTTCTTTTTCTTTCCTCAAAGTTTGTGTCTCTTTGCGTGAGTTACGCAGATAAAATTTTGTCCAGAAGAAATAAATATAGTGACAGATATTCTAACGCCAGTGGTTAAAAACAGTGTTTAAAAATTCCAGTGCAAAGCAAAGTGACTATAGATAGCAGCAATACAGGTCAGGCAGTAAAGGGGGAGATTTTCTCAGCTGACAGCCAGAGCCATGTGTAGTATGAAGTTCTTCCAGCCTTTCTCTCCTCTGTCTGCTTAGTCTTCTTCCTCTCAGTAATGTGGGTGTGCAGGTCTTCTCCCTTGCAGTAATGCCTCTGAAAACTGGTTGTAGCCCAAATATTTTGAGCTTTTCTTACTTTCTTCAGTTCTAGCAGAACCAATTTCCCATCTTCCTCTGCAGGAGGAACAGGCTTCTCTGTGAGTCTTGATTTGGGGAGTCTTTTTCATGGTGTGGAAAAGATGTGAGAATCTTAACTTTACTTCTGCCTTTTTCTTTTCCTATGCTGTCAGAAATTAAAATGTTTCTATAAATGATTAGTCATATCCATTTACTAAGGCTGTGTCATAATTTCCTGTAAAAACATATGGGAAGATATGTCTGTCTCTATTCTTCATCATTATGTCTACAGAAACTTAGGAGGGCTAAAGAAGCTTTTGGAAATTACTTGATTTGTCCTGTTTGTCTTGAAGCAACTTTCAGTGCGGAATTTCTTCCCTAGGGCTGGAAGTTGTAGTTTTAGAAGATGCTTTACTGATCCAAAGCATCCAGGATTCCAGAGATCTTGCTAGGCAGGATTTTACTCAGGTATATTAATGGTCCTCAATGAAACAGGGCTCTGCAGGATTTCCTAAGTGTCTATTTCACATAACAGAGATTATTCCCATAGTGTTGCTGTAACTTGAGGATCAAAGAACTATTTATGTTCTATGTGTTTTTTTAAGGCAAACCTTATAGAGAAAGTCCTTTTAAGGCAAAACTTGCCTTTTAAGGCAAACCTTATAGAGAAGTTGTGTGGTTGTGAGATTGTGTTAGCCTTAGGAAGTGATAAAGGTTGGGTGTGGGGATTACTGTGTCTTCCATTTGTTTGCATGATAGCATCACATTGGGCATCAGGTGGCTTCTTGGCAATCCCTGACAGTACCCTTTGCAGGAGTTCCAGTGTTGTCTTTGCAAATATGTTCCATTAGAGACCATCTGTTTCTTGTAGTTCTCTCCTTTTGGCACTCTTGGAACTACTTATTTTATCAGTATTAGTAGCTGTAGGCTGGGTAGTGTGTTGTGTGCTGTGGACCCTGACAGTCTGAGGTGAGTGGCTGACTCACTACAAACTCGGAGGTGTGGGTACAGTACCTAAATATGTCCAGAATATGCACAATAAAGAGATCTTCCTTAAGTGAGCAGGCATTCTATTTACCATTTAGTGGGTCATTTCCCATTTCTGTTTCCAGTGCCCTGAAGTGCCAGTTTGCAGTTATTGTGCTTCTGTGAACAGGGCTTGCCTTTCTGTCCATTCATAGTGTTTTATGGCTTGTAGTTACAATCTTATGTCAAGAGAAGTGCATTGGCAGAAGAATTCTTAAAATTCAGTGACAAACTCAAAAATCACCAAGCTTTTATTCTCTTTTCCCAGTTTGTGTTTGGAATGCTTGTGTTATGGAAGGAGTTAGATAATCACAAGTTATTTGAGCATGGTGTGCCATACCCAACACCGCTCTAGCTCCTTCTTCAAGGACTCCAGCATGATGCAAAGCTAATCTGCAAGAAAAATTGTGAGTATTAAAAACAAATGAGTAGCTGCTGTGCTCCTTCTATTTCTCACTTCTGACCCTTGTCTAGCCTTCTAAACAAAAGAATCTAGCAATCTGTCACACAAAGTATTCTTGACATCTCCAAAATGAGCTTCTCCCCCTCTCTTTTTTTCCTTCTTACTTAGATTTAAGTTGTTGCATAATTAAAATCTCTTTGACATCCTGCTTACAGTCATATCCTGTTGCAGGATTGGTATCCATCTGTCTCACAGCTGATGGATACAAACCCACTCTTCTCACATCAGACACCACTTCAGAACCCATGACCTTAAATATCACCACAGATATATTTTTTAACCCCCTACCAAGAGTAATAATAGAATCTCCTGACTTGGAAGTGACCCACAAGAATAATTCAATCCTACAAATCACACCATGTGCCTGAGGGCATTGTCCAAACACTTCTTGAAGTCTGTCAGGCTTAGTGTCATGACCATTTCCTGGGGAGCCTGTTCCAGTGCCTGACCACACTCTGGGTGAAGAAACTTCTCCTAATATCCAACCACAACCTCTCCTGAGAGAGTTTCATGCCATTCCTTTGGGTCCTGTCACTGTCACCAGAGAGAAGAGATCACTGCCAGCTCCTCTACTTCCCCCCACGAGGGAGCTGCAGACCACTGTGAGGTCTCCCCTCAAACTCCTCTCTGAATTCAGACTCCAGGCTGAATAGGGTAAGTCACCTCAACCACCCCACATCGTGTCTCCCCTGGACTCTTCACCATCTCCATAGCCCTCCTTTGGATGCTTTCTAATAGCTTTTTTGTTTTCTGATGTGGTGCCCTAAACTGCATGTAGACTTGAGGGTGAGGCCACACCAGCAAGAGCGGAGCAGTTTCTTTCCTCTCTCCAGCCTCTCATTCCTCAGTCTGTACCTGCATCCAGGGTTTCCCTGTTGCAAGTGCAGAATCTGACACTTACTATGATTCAATGTGTTTAACAGGAAAATCACACAGGCTTAGAACCTGGTGCTACCAGCAGAATTTTGAGGGTTTTGATCACAGGTCAGCTTGCAGGCCTGGTGGAGTACACCTTTCTCAAAGGGGGAAAGGGTCTCTGCTCAGGAGTTAACACGGCTTGTTGGGAGAGCTGTAAACTAGATTTGAAGGAGGAAGGGGATAAGCCTGGCTCACTAGGGATAAGCCTAGGGGCAGCATGCTGATTTTTGAATGACAGTAGCAGAGGTGGGAAATGGTGTCTTTAATGTAATGAAACTGTAGCAAAAGGAGAAGGGAAAAGCTAGTTTCTTGATAGAATGCTGCCTGACAAAATTAGTCAAAAGGCACTTGCTGCTGGCTCTTTTACGCAGTCCTTATACAGAGCTTTTGATACAGATTTCTAAGAAGGACCTGAGTGGCTTTGCACTCCCATGCGCAGTGCTGCCTCCCAAAATAGGTCCACCCTTCTCCACTTCTGCTTCTTCCATGCTCATGCAGAAACGGGAAATTCAACGGTGGGCAGATTCAGGAATTCACAGACAATGGGAGCACCCTGGGGAGCCCTGGTGGAAGGTATGGCCCCACGGGACCGTGAGGTCACAGAGCCCCCCTGACTTGTTCTGTGCCAGCTGTGGGCAATGCTGCAACAGCAGCAGCAAAGCAGCAAGCACAGCATGCTGCGAGCATGGCAGGTCATGGTCCTCTCCCAGTGCCTCCTCCTCTTTCTGGTGGTCCTGCAAGCCCAGGACAACCAGTCTGCTCCAGTACAAGGGCAGGGAGCAGGTAGGCAGGCTGTACCTGGCCCCAGGCTGGCAGCAGGGCCAGGGCTAGGGTTGGGTGAGCCAGAAAGGCTCCACAGTGGAGCAAACACACCACGAGGAGGTGGCGGGAGCTGCAGCTACTTTGAGGGGAATAAGGGGCTCCTAACTAGCAGAGAGGTGGGGCCAGAAACTTGGTAGTGGGTTCTCCACCACTTGATGATGGTTAGCCATCCTCCTGGTGTGTGCCCTGTTGCTACATGACCTCTGTAACATTCTGTATTCAGGTATGACAGTGCAGAGCAGAATGTGTAGTGGGTACATCTCTTGGGTTTGATTGTAGATGTGGCCAGAGAAAGGGCTTTTCCAGCTCCTCAGGTGGATTCTGTGCTGGTTCCCAGCTTATATCCCACAGGTGAGTATTTGAGAGTCTCTACTGACTTCACAGAGCAAGCTTTCCTTTCCCATGTTATTTGTGTGAAATGTAACTTCATCGTTTCTGTTGTCCTCATAAAGGTAAAACAGGGAATGATTTCCAGAAGACACTTGAAGTTAAAAAGAAGGTTCTGAAAGGCTTGGAGGAAACTGGAAATGGTTAGTACAACTCACTCTGTTAACTGTTAGGACCTGGGGAGCTGCACTTCTAGCTTCCTATGCAGAGCCTCACTGCAGGGACACTAGATTTCACACCTTGCATGGGCTGCAGAGCCACAGAGATGCTCCAGCACAGTGTCTCCCACCAGCTGAGCTCCTAGATGAGTCCCGGGGCAGCTGCTGCCACAGTTGTACAATTACTGGTCAGAGTTGCTTTGTGCAGATGTGAATATCCAGATGTCAGGAACAGGCATGTGCTGAATTTGTGCTCAGCTCATGCAAAGTCCAGCTTCAAGGCAAGAATGACAACCCAGGAGAGATTCTGCAGGGACTTCTGCTTGTGGTGGAGTTTCAGCCAGCAGACTCATAGCTGTGGTGGGATGAGTGTGACTGTTGGTGCTGCTTCTGGAGTGTGTGAAGGATGTGCAGAGGAGCTAACTGCTTGCTCTTGAGCCAGGAGAGGGAGAGCACCCTGCCAGTCACTGGAGGAGAGAAGGCCCTTGGCTGCTGGAAAGGAGGTGCAGGCAGTTTTGGCTTGCAGGGACCAGCAGGTTTTGTCAGGGCTGCAGGCAGTGTTGAGAAAGAAACAGGAGCAGCTCTGTTGGTAACTGTTGTCTTTAGTGTGTGGAAGTTACCGCCAGCAGAGTGCCACAGAGATGCTTGTGGTCTTGTCTGGATAGGAGAGCTTGCTCACCTCCCACCTCCCTTCCAGTTCCCAGGAATTTCAGAATTTTGCTCTTTTGGGAATGGTGCCACTTGTGCAATGATTTGTAGCACAGAGCACAGTAATGTGTGCTGTCTTCTCTTCTCCTGCAGGGCAAGAGCTTGAAGAAAAGGCCACAACAAAGAAACCTAGATGGCTGGACACGTACTGTATTCTAGGGATGACAGTGGGCTTGTGTGTGCTTCTGCTTTGGATAATTGTATGTTGCATAGGCCTGTCATGGCTGAGGGAGAAAGACATGTGAGTTGGCTTTTTGCTGCATTTATTAATTGCTGGCTTGACAAAGCAACTGCCGGCAGTACTCTGCTGAGATTTCCCCAGTGCGGTCCTTTAACTGTCCTCTCAATTAATACTGATGAGTAGTTGTTTCTGAAATGCATTTGCTCAGAGGGTTCTAGAGATGTGGAGCAGCACTGGAACAAGCTCTGGAAAAGCAAAGATCAAAGAGGTAGAGGTGAAACAGAGTCAGGAGGAAGACCAGCATGCAGATCTCCCAACTCTGCCCACATGTTTCAGCTGCTCTCTGGCTGATGGTGCCTCTTCACAGGACAACTGGGTATCTGTGGATTCACCTCACCCCACAACATCCCAGTGTCCCTGTAACCAGTATCAACAGGGATATTGTGCTTCAGAAGACCATTTTTTTTTCAATTAATAATATATATATGGTTTATTTTTTTTTCCAAAAAGCAGTGAGTTCTTGCCTGTTTTTGCTCTTTTTGTTTGGGTAAAATGCACAGAGCTGGCACTAGGGCTGTATCTGTGATAGAGGCTGACAGAGACCTGCCCTGCAGTGTGGGACACCTTTGTATCAGCATCAGCCTGTTTTCCTCACTGGGGCTGTCATCAAGGCTTTCCTCCACCAGAATGGGGTCTTGCTGGTGAGACATGAGGTGCACAGGCTTGTCCATGAGCTTACTTGAGATGTTGCCCTGAATCAGGATTGTCTGGGTAGAGAGGGAAGGAAGTGTTCAGAAGGATGGGCACCCAGTGCTGAGCACATCAAGGAGGACTGATGGGGTGACAGATGCTGCAGGTGCAGCAGTGTCCCCCACCCCAGGGCTCAGAGATTATAAATGAGTGGAAAGTTGGAGCAGGGCTGGGTGGGAGAGAAGAGTAAAAGCAACGTGCTATTAATGACAAGGGTGCCATTAAAAAGAAAACAGATTTAAAAGAAATAACAATAAATAGAAATAATAATAATAGTAATGATAAATGTGAAAAGAAAGAGTTTGAGCATTGCAGACTGTCAGTAAAGGAGAGGAACACCCTTGGAATACATCTAAAGTTGTGCTGGCTGAGTACAACAGATGCCATCCAGGCTGATGTGTAGTCTGACTTGCAAGTTGTTTTCAGAACATGTCAGATGACACAAAGTACAGACCCCAAAGCCAGTTTTATGACACCTCTGCCCTGCAACTGTGTCTGAAGGGTACAGCAACCAGGCAGAAAAGGCTTTAGACATTGTCCTGGGCTGCCTTGCAGGCCATTATAAACACCTCTTCCCAGCACACCTCCCGCTGTGCAGAGCCCCCCATGTCACCCAGTCAGCCCAGCTGCTGACCTGACTGTGCATTCCCATTCTGTGCACCTGCAGGAGCTTCCCCCACTGCCTGCTTTGGTCCATTCAGGTGTCAGCAGCCGACCCTGAAATTCTTAGTACAGGGAGAGTGTTCAAGTAGATGCCAGAACAGTTCTCTGAGGATGGCTGATGTCTCTGGTGTGTGTAGGTTATTGCCAGCAGCATGCCAGAGAGATGCTCATAGGGTTTTTATCTCCCACCACACTCAGTCCCCAGGAATTCCAGAACTTTGCCCTTTTGAGAATAAGGCCTTTGGAACTACAGTAAGCAGGGGATGGGAATTATGGCTCTTGACCTTCCATACAAAAACAACAGATTCATAAAATCAAAGTCATAGACTCTCAAGTTGGAAGAGACCCACAAGGATTATTGAGTCCAACTGCTGGCCCTGCACAGGACACTACAAGAATCACACCATGTGCCTGAGAGCATTGTCCAAATGCTTCTTGACCTCTGTCAGGCTGGTGCTTCCAGGGAAGCTGCCATTTGCTGTTCAGTACCCTGCTATGCACAGCAAGACTGTCACAGGTGGGAACTGCTGTGCTTGTGTGTGTCAAGGCAGTGGTTTTTCAGGGGATCCCTGTCATCCACACCAGCTTGTGCATGTACGTCTAAAATGTCCCACACATTTTAGAAATATGGATACATTTTTTTTCTACCACTCAGGCACAAAAAAATCTCCAGGAGGAAGAATAGGACAGATCTGAGGGAAGAGAGCCCTTTTTAGTAATGTATCAGTATTATTCCTGTCACCAGGCTAACACATTGAAGGCAGATTGAAGGCAGTTCTGCTGAAAAGCCATTCAGATGCAGTGAGTAGTTGAGCAATGGTGTAATTCAGTGCTGGGCAAACAGCAAAGGGTAGATTTCTCAGTGAGGCTCTGCACTATATAAGTTTGGATGTGTTCAGGAGTTTGTCTCAGGTTGGACTATGCTTTTTTTTTTTTTTTCTTTTTAGCTATCATGCACTTATAAAAATCTATTTATGGAAATTCAGGGGTATCATGAATAAATGAGATGGCATATTCCTTTCTTCTTTTCGTGAATTACAGTATCAACATTTTAGAGCCTGTTCATGAATTAATAATTACTTTAATCAATAAAAATAATTACAGTGCTAAGAACATTTTAACAATGAATGCTTTCATGCGGTTTTCACTCCTTTTTAATTAAAGCATGACAACTCATATTTACCATTTTCATCATGATCTCTCTAAATGGTGAAATTTGTCATCTTTGACTTGGGCTCTAATTATAATTCTTTTAGATGGTTCAGATTTCTTCTCATTATTCAATTATGCTTGCTCCAATTTTAAACGGAAAAATTTTTCCTCTCCAAATCTTTCATGCTGTAAGAATATCTTTGACTTTATAATACCCATTTTAAATATTCTATGCTAGCCAAAATAAATGCAAATTAAATATAGGAAATAGAAAAACAAATATAAACTGCTGAATACAAATAAATTTGGGAGAAGACCAATTATTTCCAGTTTAAATGCATCTATCTTACTTCAGTATAGCATGAAATATTGATATAAATTTGCTGCAAGTACAGAAATTGTAATAAGACTATAATAAGCTTGCAAAAGCAGCATGCAAACTTAATTTTTGTGCCTGTGACACAGCCTCCAATTAAATGATCTCTTACTATTTTTTCGTATGGAATCTCTTCCTTGCTTTTTCACTAGATAGCATGGCATTCCCTTAAATATGGTAACCTGCTATGATAGTCTTCTTCAACCTATTCTCCATAATTGCCTTAGTATTTTTTATAGCCTTGGCCATGTGAGAAAATATTTCTTTTCCTGGTCACAGTGAGATTTGTTTGCCTCATAAATTTGTGAGTTCTGTCGGTGCCTCAGCGATGTTTTGCCTGGTGTGAGCTAAGGGATTGAGCCACTGAGAAACTACAGGGGAAATTCTTATGCTGAGTTGATCACAATTAGACAAGTAGGACCTTTTTAAATTTTTTGCTTTGTAATACCATGTAATGCTAAGAAATCCTACGAGTACTCTAAGAGATTTTACTTATTTCAAGCTCAACCTTCAGGTGCTTCAGGAATCGACTTAGCCTGGAGACTTCCTCATGTGGATTCATATTGCCAGAAAAACATGTGACTGTGATAGAGGGATCAGTGAAATGTCTCTTTGTATTCCCCAAATCCCACAATGGCTTCTTTTGACACCTTGCTGATATTATTTTTGTCATTACATGCCTTTGGTACAAAACGTATGCAGCAACTTGCTTTCCAGCACATCAGCTTTGCTTGCAAACAGTGGAGTAAAGAGGTGCATTTGGGCAGGTGACAGTATGCTCCAGTTGCTGTGCCTGTCAGGTGGTTTCACCTATCCTAAGGATGTTTTCAGCTGACTTTTTTGGTTTTCAGTCACTGCATAACAATCTGCCTAAAAAGCCAAATATCTCCTCCTGTGCCTGTCAGAAACTGTCACTTACAGCCAGACTGCTGCTTCAGGAATTTGTTGGGCATCAGTCTGCAAACAGATCCCAAAATTTGAATCTAGCCTCCATGAACTACTCTGATGGGACAATTAAGGACCAAATTATAGTTTGTGTGCATGGAGGGGAGTAAGTTAAATTGGCAGACAAAACCAGATTCCTGCTGTCATGTCTCTGGAGTGCTTGTCTTAAAGTCATCACAAAGTTGTTTCAACACAATTTTGTGCCTGCACTTTCCAGTAGATTTAGAGGATCCATTAGGAAGAAAGTAGCAAATAATTCAGGACAGAAATAGGTCATCATAAGGATTAAAAAATTTGAGATGCACAGTTCAGAGTTTTGCTGCTGAAACTAAATTAGCAGTCAGCAGCTGCTTTCTCTGATTGACTTTTTCAATAACCTCATACAAACTGGCTTACCGTGCTGGAAATCCTGGGGTCAATTCCAGCTCTGGAAAAAAGTGTGCTTCTAGGTGTCCGTGTCCCTGCTGCCTTTTACCAAACACTTCTGACCTGTCCTGCTTTGTCTCTTCTTTGTGGCCAAGTCTTTTTTCAGAATTTTTCCTTGCTTCTTCCAGCTTGTTCTCCATGGAGGCTCTTCAGGCTCTGTCTGGGCATTCCTGTCTGTTCCTGGGGGCTGCACTGTTTGCACATTGGATTACACTGTGGTATTTAGTACCAATACAGTAGTTAAAAAAAGGAACAAAAGTATAAAACTTGATAATAGTTACATTCTGTTTTTTTATCTGGAGGGCAATGCCCCATTACAAAATATGCCTATAAGTGCTGCTTTACTTGTAATTGAGATTAGTTGGTATATGAAATTCTTGTTGGCTTTTTGCACACAGCAGATTTAATTTGTGGTATATTAATTGCATTTGGTGTGTTATCATAGTGCATTTTAATAGCAAAAATTATTTTTAGGAATTTTTCACTTTGTGTGGATCACAGAATTGAGGAAGTGTATTTTTTAAGGTATTTGTATAGTCTGTTTTTTGCAAGGAATATGGACAGCTTTGGACTGGATTGTCACATATGCAAACAACTAAGAGACAATCACTGATTCTTACATTTTCTTTTTTTCAGTGACAGAGAATAGATTTTTGTGAAATCCAAAGCAGTAGTTGCTAGTTCAGTATGGACAGTAATTGCTTTAATGAAGCAGAGAGGAGCTCAGATACCTATTTTCCTGGCATGTATTCTGCAAGATACTAAACAGCTTAAATATTACACCCAAATCCAATGTCAAAATGTTTTTCCTGTTATTTCTTGAATCCAGAATATTAATATACGTCCAAAAAGTAGGTTGAGCAAATATTTGCATTTAGTGGATTTATCATTTGCTATTGGCACCTACCTTTAATTATTTCAAGACATCTGAGAATACTTTGCCCTGACATGATACAGATTTTCCTTTAAAAAAGGCATAAAAAAATAATTGCTCTATAAGATGTAACATTTATGAGGTTGTGTGAATAGTTGCATAATGTGCACATGGTGAAAGCTGTGCATTTCATGTTAAATACAAGAATGACTGTGCACTGGGAGGGAATATTTAAGAAATCATGAGAACTATAAAAGGCCATCTGCTTCATGCTCCATTTTCATTTGCTGGATTAACCCACTGCAATATTTAAATAGATAATGAATTGGCGTTTCATCTACTCATTAGATTTTTCATGGCACAAACACACCTCATAATGAAAAAAGTTTCCTTTCTATGCAGGGAGAGAGCAGTTGTTCAGGAAGAGGAAAAGACAAAGCATAATGTGACAAATGGCATGGACTACACCTTTGCTGTTAACCTTTGATGTAATTCCAGGTTTTCCTGCTTGCTCTTGACTGTCTTCAACAGTGGTCCTAATGTTGCTATGGAGTTGCAAATGGCGAATGAAGAGTGGGATCCTGTCACTGTCCTCCCTCCCGTTCTTTTGGGCAGTCCCCTTCCATGAGTAGGAGAGGGAGTGGGGCAGGTGTGCTGTGTTCTGCTTTCTCTGCCTGCTTGCATGGATTGTTGCTGCCGAAGTCTTCATTTCAGCAGAAACATGGAACTGTGCAATCGTTTGGGTTGGACCTTCAAAGCGTCTAGTTCAACCCCCCCCTCTGCCATGTTCAGGGACATCTTCCAGTAGATCAGGCTGCTTAGGGCCCCATCCAACCTGATTCTGAGCACTTTGAATAGCTCCTAGGCTGATCTGACCCTTCTCTTTGCTGAGATTAGCAGAGTTGACAGGTTCAGTAACATGAAGCTTGTGCAAAACATTCTTTCACCTCTTTTTTTTTCCTCCTCTTTTGTACCAAACAGGGGCAATGGAGAAGGAGTCGCTGTGTGGTTGCCAGTGTGCTCTGAGGCTGGACCTCAGTTTTGTGCTTTGCTGCAACAGCAGACAGTATTTGAGTCTCATAGTTCTATAAATATGCATTACTGCTCTGCCTAACCAAATAAGCAGTGCTCCTTTGTTTTGTAAAGTTTTCCAGGGAGTGTTTTTTTAACGAACAAGCATTTCAAGGTGGTAGGGAAAGCCCTTTCAGTGAAGGCTAAGTCCTGGGTATGTTTGCATTTTTAAAAAAAGAGGGAGTAATCTTGAGTGTTCTGATGTTATTTTTAGGATGGGAGGATGGCTGAAGAATTATTTACCATAATATTATTTGAAGATAATAAACTGCATAGTCGGATTTACCTAAATAGGCCTGATAAAACATTTTAATCTTTCCAGTGTAATTATTGTTATATTGCAGAAACACAAAGCAAATTATAGCCAAAGCCTTAGAATCTGATGTTTGCAACAAAAATATGTTGCAGAAGGACATTTGAATAAATTGTTAAAAGAGAAAGGCATCTGGTTTGGATGACCCACCAACCCTGGAGTAAATGCAGGTGATCAGTCCAGAGCTTATGTTTTCATAAAAAATCCTGTTATCTCACAGTCTCAATTCTGAATGGAAACAGCCCATTAAGATCTCATTGCTAGGCTGAATGCATGGTTCAGATTACTGTTTTCCCCATGTGTACCACATTTGTTTACACTGAATTTCACTTGCCATTTTATTGACTAATCACTCGATTTCATGAGGTTTTTCTGCAGTTCTCTTCCCTCACAGCATAAATTGCAGGCTCCACAGTGCTTCTGCCTAGAGGCAGACTGTTTGCTATCATGCAATTCAGTCTGAACTATCTTACTGTCCTACTTTAGCACCTATTTGTGAAATAGGATTTTATCCCTCAGTTCTTCCTTCTGAGTTCAGTTTTGCAGGAACTCAAGCTCTTCGTCATTCCCTCGCCTTCTTTTGGAGAAAAGAATATTTAAAAATTCATGGGCTGAAATGCTTCTTCCTGGATTTCTTGTTCTGTGTGAGAGCATTTCCCTTTCATAATGGGCAGTTTCAGTTTTTTTTTTTTTTTTTGTTGTTTGTTTTTTTGGGTTTTTTTTTGGTTTTTTGGGTTTTTTGTTTAGGAAAATGACTTGCCTGAAAATATATTTTGTCCATTTTGAACAAATTGGCACTCTCATGCCTTGTTGTTCAACTCATCAGCCTTCTGCCATCTTTGTCCAGGTTATTCTGCTGGGCATCTGTTAGGAAGAGAAAAAAGTGAAGTATGAGTTCTCCTTGGGCTCTGAGAAGTTCAGTGGGAGCATTTTCTAGCACATGGCTGCAGGGAAATCAATGGAGAAGGTCAGTCTCCTGCCTTCATCTTCAGTTCTGCAGTCAAGAAACTGCAGAGCGTAGAATGGGAACCCATAAAACTTTTTGGCAATTCATCATCATTATCTAAAGGGTTTGTGCATGGGATGAGATTTTTCAATACAAACATCACTGAAAATTCCAGAGGTTGCTGTACACCCACCTACCTCATTGCATTAGAAAGGCACAGTCAAAGTGAGCTTATACCTGCCCAGTTGTACGCTGCTGCTCCTACAGTCAGAGTTCAAGCAGTATAACTCAAATAAATCCTAGTGTGCACCTGGAGGTAAAGGTGGTAATGTGATCTCACTTCCCTAACTGCAAGGCAGCTCCAGAGAGCTTCATTGTTCAGCAGAAGGCTTCGACAGATTACTAAGATTTGTTTCTCAGGCCCTGGCTTCACTTGCACTGACTACACACCTCTGTGCTGTTTCTGCAGGTCATTACTTCTTATTATTCTTTTAATCCTTTCAAGCCCCTATGAGCTTGATGATGACATAACATTAATAATTGGCTTAAAAATATGGACAAATATTGATGCAATTTAAAGATATTTGAAAGCTTGTGCATATTGGGCAGTATTTTTTCTGAGTAGCTATGACTTGTTTTATCAGTCAGAGAAACTCTCAGAAGTATTTAATCCTGGATTACAGTACAGAAGATGACTGGTGAAAGGGATGTTGTGAACTTTCAAAAAGAGCAGGACATCTTGGTTGCCATCTGGTACAACTGCTGCAAACAATAACATTTAAAAATACTTGTAACTAAAAGTTAAGTGAATTGGCTTTGATCTACCTGGCTATAAAAATTATTAATCTACTTAGAATAATTATGAAGCATTTTTGGCATGCAGTAGCTTTTCCAATTTCAATGAGTTCATGGACTTCATTAATAGTGGTCATAAAAACACTAGAAGCACTATGGTTATTAATTAGGGAAAAGTTAGTTAAAAGTGAGAATTTATAATTTTCACAATATGACACGTTCCCTGAAAGATTTAGAGTTAACAAGCAAGTATATTTTGTTTCATTGTCATTGTTAATAGGAAAAAAAATCACTCTGCCATAGAGATTCTCTCACTGAAAGTTGATAACATTTTGTAGAAGTAGTGAAGCCATCCAAATATGCAAGATTTCTAATGATAGCATGTGGCCCTCTGTGATTACCTGTACTCCAGAAACAAAAGGAAATACTCTGTGTCCCATACTCAGTGGGCAGGGGATAGCTCCCCTTGGCACTCCTCCTACTCTCTATTGGGATTTGTAATTTTAGACTGTAAAATCAAGGTTAAACTGCTCCATCCCTGGAAATGCTCAAGGCCAGGCAGGATGGGGCTCTAAGTGACCTGCTCTAGTGGAAGGTGTCCCTGACCATGTCAGGGAAGTTGAAACTAGATGCTCTTTAAAGTCCCTTCCAACCCAAACCATTCTCTGATTCTATGATGATTCTGTGATGATCCTGTGTTGCATGATGGTGGCTGATCTGGGGAGTCTCCCTTTTCTCTTTCTAACAGCTGGATAGGAGTTACATTAACAAATTCAGAGCCTCTAGGCTTTTGAATATGAGGCCAGAAATATGTTGAGCACACTGGAAAACTGAAGTCCCATCAAGAATTTAAAGTACCTTACAAATTTTTCAATCTTATGGATTATTAAAATAAAACATAATAAAGTCTTTAGATGTGAAATAAATGAAAATTAAATACAAAGTCTAGTTTGCTTTAATAATTATAATTGCTTATTGTGTACTACGACATTGTTTAACGCTGATTTGCTGAGACTGACATTTTTAAAGTGTCATGGTTTGACACTGGCACAATGCCAGTGCCCCCCATGAAAATGCAATTTTTCAACTGAATGCTGTGAAATGTGATCGAGAACAGAGCAAAGCAGGCTCAAGCTCAATAATAAGAAATAAAACTTTATTAAACTACTACCACTATGCTACTATAAAGGAGGGGGGGGGGAAAGAAGAAAGAAACACACACAATTCAAAATGAAAACCTTCTAAAGCATTCCTCCTCCCACCACCCAACTCCAACAAACCACAGTGAGACACAATCTGGACCCCAATCAGGTTTCCACCCTCCAGATAATCAACACCCAGTCCATCTGCAGGGAGAGAGGAGTCTCTCTTGTGCCACAGACCCCCCAAGAAACACAGCTGCCGCATCCTGTGCTTCTATATCACCACATGGCACCGCCCGAAGAAAAAAGTTTGTCAGTGATGACCCTCTCCTTTCCATGCACAGTGCTCTCACCACCAATGCATGGATGGACAGACTGCTTTTAGGATCTTTCCTTTCAAGGATGCCCTGCCAAGAGGGGAAAAAACAACAGTTTAGTTTTTCATTTTTGGGACCAACAGTCCCCCCCATTTTCCCCTGGGGCTGAGGATCTACGAATAGAGATCTTCTTCTCTTCTTCCTCTCTGAAGACAGGGGGCACCACCACAAACTTCCCTAACTTCTCTCTGTTCGCTCTACTTCTGTCTTTTCCCAGCTGAAGCAGGTCTCTTTGGCTCACCAGCATCCTCCTAAAATACAGTCTCTCTTGGAGGAGAAGATCAGTTCAATCTGTGGCTACTAAGAAAAAGTCCAGCCAAAAGCCACTCCATCATCTCCTCCCACCTAGAATTTTTCCTTCCAACATCCCAGGTCCCAGGCTGTCTCTCTTCCTCTCTTTTTCAAACCAAGGAGGAGAAAAATTTCACAAAGCTTTCATTTCTCAGGAAGGGTTAAAAGTCCCGACTCCCAGAGATGGCTTGCTGCCCAGGCTCCAGCTCCCACAGCCCGGCTGGGCACCTTGCGGTCCCCCCGCTCTTCTCCTTCCCCGCGGCGAACTGCTGATAAAAACCACCGCTGTCTCTTTTTCTCTCTTGGGAGAGAGAGAGACTCTGGGGGAACGGAGACATCCCAGATTTTGTCTACCCTTCCATCTGCAGGGGGCCAACCCGGGTTCCAGCCCCTCCACCCTTGGGCCTACCTCCGAAGGCCACATGGCTTCTCCCCTCCCCCACCCAGCTCGTGGCCAGGCAGGGGAGAGTCCTGCACTGACCGCTGACCGGAAGCCAAGAGAGCGAGTTCCCCTGGGAATTCTGCTTTTAACCCCTCTGTGTTCTCAGAGGCATGTCCACCTTCAATTGGTCAATGTCCAAATTGACTTCTTCCTTCCGGAAAAATTCTTTTTCCGTGTCAAACCACGACAAAAGTCAGACATTTTTAAAGTCCCTGAATTATAGCAGATTGCATAGTATTGAACTGAGACTTTAATGAAAAGGAAAAATTAGGAAAATGCATAATATGCTTTAAAAATAGCTATGGAGCATTTAGGATACTATTTTAAATTTGCTTTTTAGTGCATTATCTTTTCTTTCCTTATACTTCTACTTTAATGCAAGACAGATCTTTTTATGGGAGGTAGAAGTACTGTCAATTTAGGTTGAATTGGTGAGTGCTGTTTACTTTTAGTACTATGATTTTCAGACTTTCCTCCACATACCAGTGGGAAAACATTGGTAAAGGTTTTTTAGTTGTCTTTTAGAACTTGGGGAAAATACACATTTTAGATTTCCCTGAAAGTTAGAACCAAATAACAGTGAAAAGGTTTGGGCTGGGTTTTTGCTTGTCAGACTCCGGCTGTCTCAGAGTATGAAGCAGGAGGGCACTGTGGGGCCATTTCGGAGTCTGTGCCCCTTTCCTCCTTGCAGCCCCAGAGGATTCTGAGACTGTGCAACTCTGACACAAGAGATGTAAAAATGTTCCTCCCAATGGTTTTGATGCCCTTCTCGTGCTGGCCCTGGACTATCTCTCTGCCTTTTGTCCTGTTTCTAAGGCATCTAGTTTTGATGATAGTCATTGTAGCAGTACCTGCTGTCTTTTCCAGAGGGAGGCATTCCTGGGGCATGCATCACATTCTTAGAGACAGATGGTTTTACCAAGTATGGGTTCACATTGCTTGAGGATAGTTTGCTGTTGGAACTGCTCTCAGAGAGTGTTGTGGCCAAAAAGGCACATGGTTCATCCTCCTCTTCCCTGCAGTTCTCTGACACTGCCTGAGCAGACTTGGCCCTCTCCAGTGTGGGCCACCTGTCTGCCTGTTGCCTGCCATGGCATTCACCTGCCTACTCAGATTCTTGCTATAAAGCCCTGTTGTTTATAGCAGCAGTGCCATTTCAAGTGCTTTGAAAATCTCCCCAAAATATTTTGCTTTGTCCAGTCTGGACTGGATGGAATGAATGCAGAGGAAAATGGAGCTACTGGTAGGACAGAGAATCAGATGCTGGCCCTCCTTTTGCAGTGTTGACAAGACTTCAGACGTCTCTGAGGTTAGGTGAGATTCTAGGTAATGTGCTCTGAGATTTATGTGCCATTCTTTGGTGCAAAACGTACAACGTGCCTCTTTTCTTCATCTTTGAACTTCTCTTGTGAGAGATACTGGCTTCACATACAGAATATCTTTGACATCTATCCTGGGCTGTACAGCTGTTGTATGTCTAATTGCCCTCTTGGCTGTTATTGAAACAGAGACTGATCCAATCATGAGATGGGGCATGGGAGAGGTGACTTATTCAAGGAAACGGAATCTGAGAACTCAAGAGGTCTTATCCAGACTTGGCTCCATTTTGGTTATTTTTCTGCCTTTTTTTAGTAAATTTTCTGAAGCCTGATAACAGTGAACACAAAGGATAAACAGGGAAAATACTTTTAAGTTTTTTGCCCTTATTTTGGAGACTAGGGATTTGCTGAAGAGGTGCCCTTTTGTCCACCCATCCATAGGCAGGACAGTGAAGTTTGAATTTCTGCTGCAGCTGACTCCATTTTGCAATTATTTGTTGCTTTCCTTTGGTTAAACAAGTAGAGCTAGATTTTGTGAGGTGTTAACTTTGGTGTCTGTTATGCTATTAATTTCCTATTCAGGTATCCAGAGAAAAGCAGTGTGTCCATTTGAAGCATTAAATCTGTGTCAGCATTACTTTTGTCACTTTCTGCATGTGTAAGGAACTATGCATTTCATTTAACAGAAAATAACAAAAATACATTTGGGTAATTTCAAGGTCTTGTCATACTCCATAGTGGTTTTGGATTGTGTTTTGGATTATTGTGTTTATGGCAGCCTAGATTGCTCTTTATCTTGTAGGAATGTATTGTATTTAATCTTTTTTTAAAGTTCCTTTAATTACACTTAAATGTATTATCTTTGAATTTCATCTTGTCTTATAGGAAAAGCATAAAAATATAACATAATTTGTTGTTTTAGTAATTTATCTGCTTAAATAATACTCTCATGTCTTTTATCATTATCACTGTAATTTTGGATCCCTCTGATTCTTCTATATTCTTTTGAAAAGAGTGTACTTTACTGGAACTGAACATGCTTGCAATCTATAACATAAAATATAGATTTATTGTTTTAATTAATTTTCAAATTCATTCCATCATCTTAACTGAACTTCTGTGTGAAGTGGAACTTGTCAGTGAACTATCCAATTTAAATTTCACTCTTTTCCCATTAGAATGGTTTAGTGAAGAATTCAGAAATATTAGTGTTCTAAGTACTTTTCTAAGATATATGCATTGTATACAATAATATGTTTAATATTGTAAGCTTATTTAAATGAAATATTTCTAGTGACCTCGGGGCTTTTTTAAATTTTGATAACTGAAATGTTTTCTGTAATTTGCAAAATTTTATTACCCCTACTATTTTGTCCTTGAAATAGGCCACAGGATTTGTAGGGTTTTTTGTTTTGTGGATAGGGTGGGGACATTTTTCCATAGGAATGGTCATCAAAGTACTAGCATGCTGCATTTAATATGCTGAACAGACTTGTAAATTCTTTTACAAATTAAACTGCATTGTAAGCAAAACTCTGGATTGCTGAAAAATAGAAAAATAATTTCTGTAGCAGTTCTGCTCATTTTATGAAGGAAGACTATGGTAGGGGCTTTGGTCTGGAGACATCATTAAAATTGAAAATGCAGACTTAGATATGTCTTGTCTTGAAGTGAGATCTCAATTTGGATGTAAATAGTTTTTGATCAA